TTTGTGCTGTTGAAGCTAGAGAGGTGAGCAGAGAAAATCTGAATCCCCGTAAGGACTTCTTTGTTGACATCCACCCCTTGGCGCAGCTCATATGACCTTATGCAGTTGCGAGCGCCGTAAAACCTCTACTAAAACTAAACTAACTAATCGTGTTTTTTCAAAGCGTAATCATTGTCATTACACAGTAGCCCTCGTCACGTTTTTGTTTTGTTTTGAGAAAACTTAAAAGAACGGTAACGTAAAAGAACGGTGTTTACCCTTGTTTAGCATCATATGACGTGAATATAAGTTACAATGCTTCTATGATTTTGATTTAAAGACTCAGAACAGAACCCTGCTGTTCTGAGGATAGAAAAAAGTAACAGACATAGTTATTATACTAATGTAATCTAGAAACTGGATAAAAAATGACGAATGTACTTACGTTGAAACTATGAATAAACATCCCATCTCCTTCATTCAACCATGCAAACCAGAACTTAGACAGTCAATCAAGAAATCAAGAGATACAAGAAAAGCTGAATATATTTCGTTATAACTATAGGATTGTAAACTATTCTTAGTGTTTTATGTCCCAATCGACAAATTTTAGATCATTTCGACACGATTTAGATCTAGATAATTTAGGAGGAAGTTAAAAGACTGGTCAGGAAGGAAGGACAAAGGAGAAGCCATGGAAAAAATTGGCAACTGAGGCAGAGGAGGCAGCTGCTAAAGACGAACAAGGCAACGTATACAAGATCACAAGAATAATATGTGGCAAGTACCACAGTGAAATGAGTGGACCAATCAAAGACAAGGCTGGCAAGCTACTGACAATCGAGAAGGAACATGAAGCACGCTGGACAGAACACTTCAGGGAAGTCCTAAACCAACCTCCACCTGAGGACACCCCAGACATAGAGGAAGCTACCTTGGATCTTGAAATCAGCTCTGACCCACCACAGAAACACGAGATTGTAAAAACTGTTAAGAGCATGAAAACAAGAAAATCTCCAGGAATGGACAACCTGAATGCTGAATTGTTTAAAGTAGACCCCGGACTGACTGCAACTATTCTTCAACCACTATTCAAAACCATATGGGAGGGAGAGCAGATTCCCGAGGACTGGAGCACTGGAGTCATTGTTAAAGTACCAAAGAAAGGAGCTCTTAGAGACTGCAACAACTGGAGAGGTATCCCGTTGCTATCAGTTCCCAGCAAGATCCTGGCCAAGATTATTATTAATCGGATGTCGGATGTCGTAGACAGCTGCTTAAGAAAAGAACAGGCAGGATTCCGCAAAGAAAGAAGATGCACAGATCAGATATTTGCCCTCCGCAACATAATAGAACAGTGCACGGAATGGCAGAGACAACTTTATTTCAACTTCGTTGATTTTGAAAAAGCGTTCGACAGTGTGCATAGAGAAAGTCTTTGGTACATTCTACGATCTTATGGAATCCCTTGCAAGATAGTGGAGGTCATCAAGAGCTTCTACCAAAACTTCAAGTGCGTTGTTGGAAACAGTACCACTGCTTTTGAGGTAAAGACAGGAGATAGACAAGGACGCAACATGTCAGCAATTCTGTTCAACCTGGCCATTGACTGGGTCATGAGGAAAACAACAGAGGATACATCAAGAGGCATAAGGTGGACCCTCTTCTCCACCTTCGAGGATCTTGACTTTGCCGACGACCTTGCACTACTCTCCCATACCAACCAGCACATGTAGGAAAAAACAAACCGACTCCACAAATACGGACGCCAGATAGAAGAAGACAGAAGAAGACAGAAGTGATGACACTGAATGTAGGCTCCCCAACGCTGATTAGAGTCAGCAACACAGACCTGCATATAACAGACACATTTACCTACCTAGGCAGCAGAATCAAAACTGACGGCGGCGCAAAGGAAGACATCATGAACAGACTCAGCAAGGCAAGATCTTTAAACAGAAGCATGATCAACATCTGGAAGTCAGGACAATTTAGTATACAAACCAAGTTAAAGCTGTATAACAGCTGTGTACTATCCACACTCCTATATGGAGCTGAATGCTGGAGGATGACTGATCATGACCGTGCCAAGCTATCTTCCTTTCATACGACCAGTTTACGCCAAATCCTCAGAATCTTCTAGCCCGACAAGATATCCAACGCAGATCTGTTACGTAAATGTAGGCAAGAGGACATGACAACCATAATAAAAAGGAGAAGGTGGAGATGGGGTGGACATGTTCTGAGAAGAGAACGAGACTCTATTGTGAAGACTGCCCTCCACTGGACACCCGAAGGACGTCGCAAAAGGGGCAGACCCAAAGTGACCTGGAGACGCACAGTAGAGTCTGAAATGAAGTCCTGGAATCATTCGTGGGGAACACTGACCAAGATGGCCCAAAACAGACAGAGCTGGAGATCCTTTGTTTCTGCCCTAAACGCCAGATGGCAGTAAGTAAGTAATTTAGGAGGAGAGCTGCTTTGAGTCTGACTGTCAGTATTAACCCTGTGTTAGTCGGATACAGCATCTCCGCAGATACAACTGACGAAAGACTTTTCTATGCGAATAACGAACTTGCATCTGAAATATAACAGCACAATTGTTCGCTTTTAAGCACAAGGTGGCTATCCCGAAAAATGCTGTTTTGAGAAAATCGAAGGAAAAGATTTTGCTTCCTGTTCATTTTCTTTAAAAAAACAAGGAGAGTTTTCTTTATAGCCAAACAAATATACACACCAAGGGGGCTCTCGTGGCCTTTAAGGTGTTGGCCTCTCATTCAAAAGGTCCCGGGTTCGATTCCGGGTAGCGACGAAACATTTTATTCTCTAAATTTGTCTCCTTTCACCTCATT